GGCTGGCGCCTTAGCCGGTTGAGCTATAGGCGCCGAGCCTTTCCGTCACAAATTACCTGAAAGTTGGCTTAAAACAAATGTTCCATAGTTCACTGGGGGTAAAGTCAAGGTGTTTGATGGCCACTTTTTCCCCCTTGAGGCTCTAGGAGAGAATCCGTTCTGTTCCTTTACCTTTTATAGCTTCTAGAGGGTGCGTGCGGCCCTTGGCTTTTGGTTGTCTTCCTGCCTTTTTTTTTTTTTTTTTAATTTTTGGGAGTGCAGGTGTTGGGGAGGAAGGAAAACAGAGGGGGGAAGCAGCTGGTAGGGGTGATGGAGCCCTTCCTGCATCTTTAAAGTTGGTACAGAGCATCTCCAACCCACTTCAATCATCCACCTCTGACTCCTGTCTCCCTCAATGTTTGTGATTGCATTCAGTCTACCCAGATGATTAAGTTAATCTTCCCCTTTCAAAACCAGCTAATTACCAACTTTAATTTATCCTTCACTTGTAAACTGCCATAACCATGGGTTCTGATGACTGGAACTTGAATGTTTTGGGGAGGCCATTCTGCCTACCACACCTGGGCTTCAAAGTTAGGGTTTTGATTCCTTAGCTTGGCCTCCTGGAGCAATCAGGCCACTTTGGGTTTCTGTGGCGATACATGTTTGCACTGTCTCACTGGTCTGGGCCTTATCACTGCAGAGATGGTACAGTTAGACAGTTCACATTCTGGCCTCAAGTGTCAAACCCACACACTTTTTGCACAACAAAGCGAGGTCTCTACAATGCCAATTTTATGTTGCATTCTCACTACAAAATGAACCCTTAAATCCCAGTTATTGCCATCAGCAACTATCTTCCAGTTTTCCTGCCCCCACCTCAGCATCTTGGAGGCCATGTGCATTATTATCCCTTCTTTCCCAGCACATAACAATCACACTTTTTCCCGTTAAAGGCCCATACTCCTTGCTTATTGGAGGAAGACAAGGACCAATGGAGAGAAAGAGCACCCAAACACCATGTTTTTAAGAGGAAGGGCTTTATTTACCCACCTGGAGCTTACGGCATAGAATTCCAAATGGCCGTCCTCTCTGACTGGCTTGGTCTTTCCCTTTTTATTGATAGTCAAAAAGTTCCACCCCACAGGTACCCTTCTCATTGGCCAGTTTGAATCAAGTGGGAGATGCTTTTCCAGCCCCTACAGAACTACAGGATTTCACAGAACTTGGACATTTCCAAGTTCTAGGAAGTTAAGTGTACAAATTCCTAAGAACTGAGTCACCTTGGAGAGGACCCTGCAGGTGTATCCTTGTGGTCTCCTTGAGAAGACCTGTTGTCCTAGACCTCACCGTTCTCAGATATCCTCTCTCAGTTAAGCCTGGCACAGTTCTTTCTGCCTTTTAAAGCTACTCTTGCCTAAAGGCTTTTTATTTTCCAAATTGGGAGAAAACAGCCCACAGGATTGAATGGGACCTCATTTAGGAGCATTATTGTGAGTATAAAATCTGATGTTTCACCTCCTTTAATTTCAGTCACTTGGCAGCTGAGTTGGTTTGAGCACATTGTCCATTAGAAGTTGTGGGCCACTAGGGAGGTCCCGTGAAAGCGGCCAGATGACAAGGGCAAATCTACCTCCACTCCTGGAAAAGCAATGCAACGCATGTCTTAATGGCATTGGATTATTTCTTTCTTTTGCATGCAAGAAAATATTGTTAATGTAATTGCATGTACAAGCTCAACCTAGCTAGAGCTGTGCTATGAGTGCTGAGCACTTGAAATGTGGCTAGTCTGAAATGAGATAGGTATGCTGTGAATACCAAATATGTAGTAGCTTTCAAAAACTTAGAGGAAAATGTAACATTTTATGTTGTACACTGAATTGATACTATTTTGAACATACAAGGTTAAATAACAAAACTTACACTTTTTAGTATAACTAGAAAAATTAAAATTACACAAGTTCACATTCTATGACTATTGGACAGAGCTACTATATGAGGCAGAGTAAAATTTCCTCTTGCAGTTTTATCTACA